TAGATAAGAATGGTGAAGATCAGGTTGTTGCTTTGGACACATCTCGAAGGCATTTGACCTCTTCACAAATTGAAAGGTTATAGTATTTCTGGACAAATTTTTTGAGTCTTATCAAATTGCAAAATGAAAGTTGTCTTGACTGGCCACTCTTCTAGATCTTTTTGCATTAATGCCAGTGCTTTATTCTTGAACCTACATTGTTCCTAATTTTCATCAGCAACTTTCCTGATGGCATCAGTTCTCAACTTGGTATCTATGCTGATGATACAATTATTTACTCCTGTCTTAATAGTAAGTTTGATTGGTTTCATAAGGTCAAATTGATAGCTGATCTAAAAAATAACATACACTCTGTTGTTAATTGGGGCAAGAAATGGATTGTTCATTTCATTACCTTCAAAATGAAACTGTTCTCTATTAATCATCTGAGGGAATTCTTTTTGCCTTCCATCAGTGTGGCTGATGCTAACCTCCAAGAGAGTGGTTTATTGCGTCTTCTCAGGATAATGTTTTTCACTGACATGAAGTGGAAAGATTATATTGAATACTAAGTCTGCTGCTAGGAATGTTGGTTCCCTGTGTCATGTTAGACAATGTTTCTCATCCAAATTTATCTTACATATTTATAAGTCTAGCATTCATCCAATCTTTGAATATTGCTACCATATATGGTCTGGTGTTCCTGCTATATATTTAGAGATCTTTGATGAAATCCAAAGAATAATCTGCAATATTATTGGTCCTAACCTAGCATCTCAGCTTTTCCACCGGTGTAATATAGTTTCCCTGTACCTTTTCTAGAAATACTTTCATGGTAATTGTTCTGAACTTTCCTCTATGGTAACTAGACTTTATGAATTTAAGTGTAGTACTAGATTGGTGGCAAGGTTTCATCATTTTACAATTAAAATGGCTGCTAGATTTAACTGTATGTTCTATGCTAACAGTTTCTTCTCTCCACACTTCTCACTTATGGAATTTTCTTCCAGTTTCTTGCTTTCCAGTCAATTTTTTTATCTTCAAAAATTTAAATGCATTGTCAATCATTATCTTCTGTCTTCTTAATTCCTGTTCTTCTATTGTTCTCTCTTCTTAATAATGTCTTCTTTTTCTTATATTCTTTCACACTGAGTAAACACTTGCATCTTGGGGGGCTTTATTGCCTTGCTTGGAGTGAAATGATTAAAAACATCTTGGAACTTCATGGTTTCCCTGCCCAAAATAAAACAAACTTGACTAACTTGATACAAAATGGAGTAAGAACACAATTTTATCAAGTAAAAGTATTTTTAGGCCTCATTATCATGAAACTTTTCCTAAACTGAATCCATGTGTGTTAAAGGTTATGCTTTGCGAATTTGCTATGAATTTTAACAAAAGTAAAAATCAAAATGAACTTGGATTTTCCTTGAAAATTAATGTATCATAAGTAAAAATGAAAAAAAAATCAAATATTTAATAATTACTTCTCTGAAAATGAAAGCATTTAAAATCTGTATAATGTTTAATCTATGAAAAAACATGAGATTAAATGCATTCACAAAGAAATAGTTTATATTGAAAAATATTGTGTAAAAGAAATGCTTTTTACACCATTAAGGTACAGATTTATTGATTATAATTCCTGTTATTGGTTCAAACCATATAAGTAGAGAAATCAGAATATGGATATTGATATGAACTGAGGTGGTTGTATAAACTGATGGACAAGGCATTGTTTGAAATAACATTAAAATAATTTATGGGGACCACAAAACTTAATGGCTTTAAAAGTGAACATATTAAAAACTATATATTAACATATAATTCATACATACAAATATATTAAAACAAAGGGAAGAAGAAAAAAAAACATATATATATAATTTTTTGATTTTTCATTTTATAGAAGAGAAAGGGCTTTTCCTCTTGTAGTATATTTGTATTATCTATTAATACATACTTTTTAATATGCTTGCTTTTAGGGCTATAATAAAAGTGAAATCATAGAGTTGGTAACTGCATTCTCCTTAAACTAGCTGCAGTTAAATGTTGTAAAATGTAGACATTTCAAAATGTTGGTAAGAACAGTATATGAAATATACTATATTGTGACTTTCAACCATAATTGTATTCTTTAAATATGTAGTGGATGGGATAAGCTTGACTGATCAGCTAAATGTGTTTAAAATATTAACATATAAAAACTGATTTCCATACTATGTATAATTTTCCATAAGGGGAAAAGCTATTGAGCTTATCCTAAAGCAATAATGAATTAATAAATATACTTATTTAAAAGCTATTGAAGCCGTAAAGATTTTGTGAGCTTTATTTTTTTTAATAATTAATTATCAACTGAAGTACAATTTAAATTTTCACAAACATTTGTAATACAAATGCTGTGTTTTTTATTGAATTTAAATGAAACAAATTTAACTGATTTTGTGCAATAAATTTAATCAAATAGAAAACAATTGTTGAAAACTGCAAAAAATGAAACATCACATATGAATATGATTGATGAAGATACAAACTGTAAGATTAAGTACAAAAAATAAAAATAAGAACTAAATTTAAACCCTTAAATCATACTGACATCTCATCAGATCATTAAAGATATGAGCAAGAAAACATTTTATATATAAGACAATAAATTGTATAAAAAAATTGATTCTTATTGTGAAACTCAACTTATTCCTACTGTTTTGATAGATTGCTGAATTTGAGTAAATGATAACACATCAGATTTTGGTGGGGATGTATGAAAATCCATTCTTGGTCAGACCAACAATTTTCAGTACCAATGCACATTTAATTTCCTTCTTCATAGTTACTCCTAATATTGATTCATTATCTTTTGATTTCTTGAAATTCATCTGTGTCTAGATTATTCAACTTTTTACCTGCTTATTTTCATTTTTCTCCTTCATGTGGATTTAATTTTCTCAGTCCATGATTAGATTGCTTAGATTAGATTTTTGTATCGACATGCTACAATCTAAATGATTCTGAACATGTATAAACTTCTATTTCTCAAATGCCGAAGTAACTTTTTTCACTCAGTTAAATAGTTAATCTGAAAGTAAACCTTGTATGCATGTCTTTTGTACAGATAAACAATTAATTAATGCATAATGTAATTTAAATTAATCTGACATAATTTATGTTTGATGAATTAAAATATCATATTTTTGTCATTTAAATAAAAGGGGTGTTCCAAAAATAATGTCTCCTATTTATTTCCATTGAAGCAACAACAGATACAGCGAACAGAAAACACTTTTGGGTAGAGCAAGTTTTTACCTACAAAAGTCTATTTTTCCATATAGTTACTACAGTTGGCTATACATTTTCAATAGCAAAGAACAAGAGTATATATAGTGTGTTTGTGACCAATTTCTCTGCACACATTGCAGTCACTACTGCTTAACTGTGCTCACATCCACTGTTTGTTCTACATAAATGTTCAGAAAGTGTCAGTGAATGTCAAAGTGTGCAACTATAGCAGAATTTATATATATAATTCTGCTTCATATGCACTTTCATGTCAGCAAGTTGGTAGAATGGTGCCTATCTAAAAGATGACAAAAATCATAGGTTATAGGTGGGAATGTTCAGCCTCTACTGCCACCCCACTAACATTCACCTCTGATGTAACAGGCCAGTATAATAGGAGGTATTACTTTTGGTACAATCCTTGTATTAATTAATTATTTTACATAATTAAGTGTTGTATCCAACCTGTGTATGTTGACTTTAAAAACATTCAGTATGCCATTAATGTTGTAATGAGCATCTGTCTGGATATTGACAGATTACAACAGGATTTGTAAATAAGCAATTGTTTGATCAATGAAAATGTTTTTAAAAATAGTTTTTCAACAATAATATTAATTTTGACTATGAATTTGTTGTAGTAGTAATTTTATTACAATATTGAAAATAATGCAATATACAATAAATATTCAGTATTTTCTATTGTGCCTAAAGACTTACAGCCATATCACATTGAAACACTCAGTTAAGCAATGTCTACACTGGTCAGTACCTAGATAGGTGACCACTTGGGAATACCAGGTGCTGTAAGTTTGGATGTGTGGGTGGTGTCATGAATAATAGTCAGTTGTTAATCAGAGAGCCAAGTTCCAATTCCTGTTGGGATCCTTATATTTACATACAGAAATGCCTTTGGGAAAGGTATGAATTTGCCTGCCCCTCCTCTTCAGCTAATTAAAGACTTTATTACAAAAAAATTCTTAAAATCCAAAAGATATATTCTGGCTTTAAATAACCTGCAAAGGGTTCATAAGATGTACAAAACGAATCAATCAATAAAACAATATTGTGTCTAAGTGTGTAGATATTTCCATTTTTTACTTCTTTTTTTATAAATAATAAATATTTAAGGTCTACTGAATAAATTAAATTATATTGTACCATTATGTATGCGTATATGTATCTTTGTGTGTATGTGTGTGGAAACTAATAATTTTTTTTTTTTAATTATAATGTATATAATTTGTCTGGTTGAATAGGTGTACCTGTATACGTTTTTTGCTTTTAAGATAATAAAATTCAAGAGTTCTACCTGTCACAGTCAACCGGAAAATATAATAGCATAAGTCAAAGGGGCATAACTATCAACACTTACATGATGAATTATGTCCCTTTTGTACTGCAAGACAAAAATTGTTAAAACAAAGAACAAAAATCAGGTATAATACGTTTTCATTTATGAGGATTATTTAAAATTTCACTGACAATTATTTGGGGTTGTTTTTTTTTTTTGTTCTAATTCCTTAGGGTGAAGTAATATTTTCATTTTAATATCCCATATACAGTTGTTAATGGAAGATTTTAAGGAACAAAGAGTTTTAAAAACGCTATATTTCAAGGTGTTCATATCTTGTGAGTTCATGGTGGAACATGAAACCTGTTCACTTGAATTATCTTTAAATATTTAACTTTTTGTCTTTGATGTCAACATAGGATTTGATATATTTTTCTTTGTTTTTCAGGACTGTAGAATATGCAGTAGATACAGAAAACCTCAGCATATCGGCCATACGAACAGTACGTGTCCTGCGTCCTTTAAGAGCGATTAACCGGATTCCAAGTAAGTAAGACCCAAATAAAAATTTAACTCAGGGATCAAACTGTTCCTCTCTTAAACAGACTAATATTAGCTTCCTACTTTTGATACTTGTCTAATTTGTTCTTTTTATTTTTATTATTTTTTTTTGTCTTATATCATTTAGAGATTACTTTTTTAAATGATTTCATTTTTTTTTTGTGTAGCATTTTGCATTGTTTAATTTTTTTTAACTATTCTCTACTCAGATGAAAATTAAAAAAACATTTTAATTCTTTGCATTTTTTCCATTTTCAAATTTTACAAGCATAATGAATAATACATATGTATTTTTGTATATATGAATACATTATGGTTTCATTTCATTAAATGCAGCTTGTCAATCCTTGTAATTATTTTTTAATGTCACAAAACAAAAACATTATTAAAATGAAGATAATGTCAGTAAAAATATGGTTGCAAGTCATAACATAGTAAGTTTTCTTAAATAGAATCATTTTAATATTTGAAGGAATTATTCAGTAGATTTTCTAATATATTTTATTTATAATTTTTCATTGTCATTGGACGTTTTTTAATTTGTAATTTTTTCCCCTCTAGGTATGCGAATTCTGGTAATGTTACTACTTGACACACTGCCCATGCTGGGAAATGTACTCCTGCTCTGTTTTTTTGTATTCTTCATTTTTGGAATTATTGGTGTACAGTTATGGGCTGGTGTATTACGAAACCGTTGTTTCCTAAACCTCAGTGCAAATATTTCTGTTCCATCGTGAGTATAATCTCTTTATATACTTGTACTCTTTTCCAAATACTTGTCTTGTTATCTTTTTAGTTACTATATGCTACTGAAATAGTTTTTCTAATAAAATATAGAAAGATTCCTTCCAAAATCTAAGTAAAGTAATAAGAAGCTGGAAGATGTTAAAAACAAAAAGAAAAGAGCACTAAACTGTTATCTTCTCATGGATCAAGAAGAGACTTGAAGCCACAGAAATGTGGTTCTAAAGAAGGATACTGAGAATACTATGTGAGTAATGAAGAAGTTTTAAGGAAAATAGAAACACTTATAATCAGAAAGAGACAAATGAAATTTCTAGGGCACATAAATGAGGAAAGAGAGTTTGGAAGGATTAAGACCATATTGAAGGCAGGAGGGCATAACCTAACAAGGTTGTGTAAATGGATAGCAGGACAGGGATTGGGAGAGATGAAGACAAACTTACTAAGAGCTGCAAAGGATAGGATGCTGTGGAGGTCCGTGACTGTCCATATCCTGAAGGGGCACAACACATGGATGAATTAAATAAAATCTGTTGGAATGATGACAGTTAATGGAATGGGAATGGAATAAATAGTTCAAAATCCAGCTGGAGTAATTTGCATTAAAAAAGGCATGAATCCACACTCCCTGTAACTGGTTAAATGGCAGGGAAATTGAAGTCCTTCAGGATTGTAAGGTTGCCCATCTTGAAAGTTTGTCAATAGATTATGCCAGAAATCATTACTTGCTGTTGATAACCCATTACAACCTGTTATATTATTTGATTATCACAGCCAGGTAACCTCTATTGCTTTGAAAGATGAGAGGGAATTATTTGCTATGGCATCCTAATGATCTAATAGATCATAAGAAACATCTCCAGTAAAATATTTTATTAAATCCACTCATATACATCAATATAAATCACACAACAAATGACAGTACAAATGTGACATTTTTTTGTCTTTCTCAAAATTCTGATGACAAGGATGGCAATGTAAAAAAATAAAATTCCAACTTAATATATTTTTCTACAGAAGCAAGGATTCTTCCATTATTATGTTATATTTTTAAATGCATTGTTTATATTTCATTGTTTGCATACTTTAAAGCAGTGGTTCCCAAACAGTGTGCTGCACATCACATGCCAAAAATAAATATGATTTCAAAATTTAAAATATTATTATGGATTACTTGTAATTGCATGCATGAGTCCCACTATAAATAATTATTGATTGATTTTATCATTGTAATAGTTTTGCATTATATCAAGTATTAAGAATATAGTAACTAGGGTCCACAAATTGAAGGAGAGAGTTATCAATGATAATGTTCTGGTTTCAAATACATGGTTATCTCCCTTTAACCCTATCTATGTTTATTATTTTTAAATTTACAGTAGAACCTCGTAGTACAAGTGCACCATTATATGAGCAACTTGCTTTACAAGCTGTCATTCATGAGCATAGGACAAGTAAAAATTTGCAATGCAAGCAACCATCATATACAGGGAAGCATTGCCAGCTGACATCATCTATTTCTAAGAAACAACATAAAGGCAAGATGAAACGCATCTGTGAACACCTAACATCCAAAACATTTATTCATTTTATTGCATAAAATTCTTTGATGTACTTATCACAGATAACATCACCTACCAATGCTCCCTTTCCCTGGCAAGTCTTTGGACCTTGAGGTTGACACAAGCAATGTTGACAAAGCTAATGGATAAGTGCAGAGAGAAGCTGATGACAGAGGAACTTCAGCTGCCTGAGGAGCACCAAAACATGGAGGAGATAAAGGAACTAGCCATGGAGGAAAGTCTGTTAGATGTTGCCCTCCATGAGTGAGATCAGAGAAGTGCTAGCAATGTGGAAAAAAGTGCATGACTTTGTGAAAAAATAACACCCACAAAAATTAAATGCAAATTGTGTGGCTGCTTTGTTCAACAAAATTTGTGTTCTACTATTTTCATGGCATTTTGAAATCAACAATGAAACAGATTTCTTTTGATAAGTTTCTAAAAAAAAAAAAAATACCACCTGCAAATGCCAAAAGCAAATCAAATGCCACAAAAGTCTTTAAGTTCTGAGTGAAAATGCCAGAAACTTTCTTATAAAAGATTTGTAGTTTAATAAAAGCTGTTTATTTCTTTCATTCTCTTTTATCATGTTATTAATACATTTACTTTTTGGGATTTAATTTCTTACTATTCATTTTCTATTTTTTTAAATTCTAAAATAGACATTTTGGATGTTTTGGGGAAACCGAACAGATTAATTAATCTTCCATTAATTTCAGTGGGGACAAATGCTTTGTAATATTTGTGTAATTTGCAATACGAGCTTGGTCTGGGAACTAATTAAACTCATACTGCAAGGTCCTATTGTACTTTTTATCACATAAAATTTGGTGAAGCTCAAGCAAATTTTTATCATTAAAAATTTGCTTGCACCTCACCAAATTTTTATTCCAAAAATGCAGCCCAGAGAAAAATGTTTGAGAACTACTGCATTAAAGAGGGAAAATAACTCTAAAAAACATATTCATAGTTTATATTTCATTAACAAACCTGTCATCTTTGATCTTGTTATTATATTATTCAATATTATCATCAGGACATTATAAGTTAAATTTATTTACAGAAATACATGCATATAAATAGAAATCAAATGAAATAAAAGGTAAAATGAGAAAATGAAAAATCAGCTGTTTGATCTCTGATCTGATGTTTTTAGTATACTTTCAGAATATTTTATAAGTTTAATTTCTTTTAATATTGTTTTTATTTCATCAGAGTTTAAATTTCACAATAGAAAATCTTATTTTATATCTATTAGATTTTTAAAAAAAGCAACAACAATAGGACATACACAAACACACATACAAGTCATCAGTTTAATTTCCAAAGCTTAGATTCTTAACACCTCAAATTCCCTAAGGCGAAAGTTTTCAGTTACAGAGCTTGCAGAATAAGTAACAAGAATATATTTTTCTTTAAACCAGCATTCATGTATCATAGAAATTATATGATGAAATAATAAATTGGTAAAACAGACAAGGAAATTATCGTCTGTAGCCTGCAGTGATAAAATTGATAATGAAAATTTATTTACATTTTATCATGAAAACAACTGATCACTAATTATACAAAGAAAATGAGAATTTTTTTCCAATAAACATTTCAAAATAATTTTTGAAAAAGAAAATGCTGTTTATGTAACATTAAGGACCTCAGTTCAGACTCACACAGGTATAATTTTATGAGTTGGGTAATTGGAAAACAAAATGGAAAAATTTTATCTAATGCATTTTGTTGATAGAATTTTTTTCCATTTTGTCTTTCAGTTACCCACCATACTACAAGTATTCATCTAAGTTGTCTGATATTTCTAATAATTCCCTTCTTCCACTCATCTCTTTGACTGACATTTCTTTGTTGTTCCTTATCAAATTACTTTTAGTTAATCTATTCTTTGTTTTTCAAATTAAATTGTGAGAATTGAAACAATTTAATAGCCAAAATGATTGACTGTAATTGTTGTAATAAGAGCAATAGTTATAAAAGTTTCATGTATAAACTATTGATAATTCTTCATCAAAAAATCTCAAACAATTTAGAATATTGCTGCTGCTGTTTCATCAACAAAGCAGATACTGAAGACAGGTGCAGTAGGATTACGAATCAAGAACCTTGGCTGACTGTAATAACCAAAATAGTATAAGTGTTGCTACATAATATAACATGCACCTGCAATACAGTTAGTCTTGTCTGAGACTGCTTCTTATATTCTGAATTCTAACACTAATTTAAAAGCAGTTTAGCAGGGCTGGTGCATACTATCCCCAAACTCTCCAACCAAGTATAGCAAGCCTGATTGGGTGCCCCTGCCATTGCTTTGTGACCCTTTCTTTCTTATCAACATTTGCTTTTTTTCTACCTATATTTATACATGTTACAAATTAAACTAAGCACAACTGATTATTAAAAGATGACAAACATTCACCGATTAAATTTACTATTTTTTATCCATAATGTTGTATGTGTTAAAATTATTCAACATTTTAACAAGAAAAATCACAATATCTGGCTATATCTCTGAGATGAGGTATTATGATTACTTACATTATTTACATTCCTCAGCCAAAATGTTGTGAATATGGCAATAAAGATGAGGATAACAATCCGAATAATGTAAATGTATGAAAAATCTCAAGTTAATATTAAAAAGTGCCGTAAAACATTGTCGATTTATTTAAGAGAGGATGATCTATTATGACATGTCCCTAATTTGTATTTAGATATGTTGTATTTATTTTTAATTTTTCTAGTTGAATTGTTCACCTGTATTGCATATTGTACATACTGTACATACTTGTGTAAAGTGTGATTTTTATTTTAAATACAGCTGTACTTTTTGACTACTATATTTTGGTCAGCAGCATAGTCAGGTCCAGCAGTACATATGCTAATTTTATCTCTCATGTATGATGTGACCCTATAAAAATTAGCTTCAAAATTAGGTCTTCAAAATTTGCATAATATGCAAATATATACAGTAATTAAGTTACAATAAAATTTGTATTTTATATGAATACTACCTTGAAAATTAATAGTAGAGTGGGTGGGGCTGTATCATGGTGGGGCACAAGACACTACACTAGTACTGCAAATTAGAAGTGTTGTGACAAAAAGAAACATTGATGTCAGTTAAATAGATGTATGGAATATCAGTATAAAAGTTTCTCAAGGTTACTGTTGGTTTTAAAATTGTTTTGAGTTTTGTTTTTTTTCTATTAAATGACTTTTTATATGTTTATCTTAGTTTTGACAAATTCTTAATTTCTTAATAAATGTGAATATATTATTTTGTTTCAGAAAAATGAATGTGAGTCCTTATTACAGGCCTCGTGTTGGAGATTACATTTGTAGTAAACCCGGAGAATCAGGAATGCGAAAATGTTCCAATTTACCTTTATTCTCTTATGAGGGAATCAAATGCAATGCAAGTGCCAAGGCGAACAGCAACAATAATCCTGCAAATAATTCATGTGTCAACTGGAATCAGTATTATACAAGCTGTGAAGCAGGAGATAAAAATCCATTTAGGGGGGCTATATCTTTTGATAACATTGGATTGGCATGGGTAGCTATATTTCAGGTCAGTACATTAATGTCACACTTTTCTATTATTTATTCATATTTTCTCTATTACAATTACATAAAGTACCAGTCATTTTAAGAGGCCTATTAAAATATAATCAGTCCTATTTAATAAAAAAAGATCTATTAGATTCAAAAGAAGAATCTGTATTGCTCAAAAATGTAGGACAATTATTACTTGTAATAACATATAATTGAAGTGACTTTGGTTAAATGCAAATACATAAGAATATTCTCTAATCATCTGTCAATTTTTATGCAGATGATATGACGATATATGGCACACCTCTAAATGTTTGATGATCAGAGATTGGCAGCTGAATTCTCTTTCAATCTAACACTAACTTCTCAGTGGGGGAAAAACTGACTGATTACATTCCATCACTGCTGATCAAACTCCAAAATACCAGTAGTTATGATGAACAGCTGTCCCCTTGAGGAGGCCCCGTGCCTCAAGAGGATATTGGGCTTCAAACTTACAACCAACCTTAAGTGGAATTCCTATATATGATCCATTGCTAAAGATGCAGGTAAAATGATCAGCACCCGTTACCATTCCAATAATTACCTGAATCCTCATGTTATCCTCTACCTTTATAAGAGCCAGATCAGTACTGTTGCTACATTTTGGCAGGAACTACCCAGACCTCACTTTCCAGTTTTGATAGGGTTCAAGTTTTTGTGGGAGAAGAATTATTTTCCACACTTGAAACTCTCTCTCTCACAAGCAAGATGTGTCGAGTCTCTCACTGCTCTATTGCTACTGTCATGGAAAGTGCTTCATTTCCTGGTTGTGCCTAGTCAGATTTTCATAGCTAGAACCCACCATGCCACTTATATAGTAACAAACCACCCACAGTCACTCTATATTCCATTGTGGAGAAGTAAGTTCCCTTCAAACAGCTTCTTCCCATGGGCCATTGCCCTAAAGAACAGATTTCCTAGAGGATGTTTCCCCAATCACTACAATCTTGACCTAGAGTCAACTGTTATCTTCTCCTATCCATTACCCTTTACCTTGAGCACCCCCACCCTCAAGACTTGTACAGGGTGAACCTTCAAAACTTTCATACCAAAACTTTCATTTATGTTTTTATTGTTTCTTGATTTTTTTTTTTTTGATTTTTTTTCAGGTTATAAGTTTAGAGAGTTGGGTAAATATTATGTACTATGTACAGGATGCACATTCATTTTGGGACTGGGTCTATTTTGTGGCATTAATTGTGGTAAGTCCTTTATTTTCTAATATTTTATCTCATAAACACTTTGACATAAAACATGTTTTTGACATATTTTTTAAATGCAAAAAAGATCACATTCTTGTTGAAATAATTCTTTGTAGGCCAATTTGGCCAAAAGTCTTTCAAACACTTACTGTTGTGCTTAGTATTAAACAATTGATGTACATGTTCACCATAAAGATACATTGATCATTTATATAGATAAAATGATTTTTTTTGATATTTGATATAATTTTATTTTCCAAATCACTTCTTAATGTATCTCCTATATTATTCTAAATAAAATAAAAACAAGTTTTTCCTCCATTTGTTAAGTTATTAATTTTCTATATAATTGGTTATTTTTTTTAAGTATAAGTTATTCATGATCAATTTGTGAAAAATAAATTTGCATGCTGCAATCTCGCCGCATCTTTTATAGTCCCATTTTCTATCCTTTTTGCTCATTCATAATTTATTTCCTTTTTCAACAAATTCTTCAAATGCATCCAACTGTCAAATTTTAATATATGTTTATCTCTGTTTTCTTTTGTCATTCATATTGAGAACAGCTTCCATATTGTTTTCACTTCAAGAGTGATGATAAAATTTTAAAAATAAAGAAAGTGTATTCATGTTTTTTATTCTTTTTTTCAACTCATACAAGCCAATTAAGGAATTTTTGACGCATTTGATCACTGACACCAACCCACTTATTTAATTATTTTTTATATTATTATTGAATTTATATGAAAACATTGATGCCACCTACCCTGAATCTATCATAAAAATTCAGGATGTGGAATTAGTAAATACTAAACACTTCAAATATCTCAGTGTATGAATCAGTTATAACAAATTTAGTATAGGATACAAGAAAATTGAACCTAGAATAGGCTGTACTAGAGGTAGTTTCACCTAACTCAGAAACTTGCAACAAAACTAACATATATTAACATGAAAACTCAAGTCATGTTCTTAAATAGCTTCATCAGATTGAGACTTTCATATGGATGCTATGTATGACAGCAAACCCATTCAGAAATATCTAAACCACTTTCTAAGATCAATAGTTAAAATGGCTTTGAGAGAGGGAAGCCTGTGTTTCTTGACAAAGACCATTCTTCTTTGAATTATTGTGAACAGGTGCTACAGAATCACAAAGAACTGTACCAAATAACAGAAACCACATCACTTGAGTACTACCAACAACAGCAACATGTAACTCAAAGAGAAAATGACATAATCAAGATATTGACATTCCACACTATTTCAAATAAAAGGTTAGGAAGGAAACCCCCATCAATACTGGAAAGAGCTATAACAGCTACTGGACTTGAAAAGCTCATTTTCCTGAAAAATTGTGTTAAGAAGAGGATTTTAGAAATTTCAAAAATAGTAGCCTTGGCTGCTCAGTCAATGAATGACAAATGTTTCCTTATAAGGAAACAGCTAATATTACCATTATCATATAGATGATTATAAAACAACACTCTGGCTGTAATTATATAACAATTATTAAAATATACACACACTCATACATATATATTTATTGTATATATTTAAATTTATTTAAAATTTTTCATTAAAGAAATTATTTACATTGATTTATTATTCATATATATAAGTATTTACACAAGGTAATTTTTAATATGGGATTCAAAGTCAGTTCCATCAGCATTTACCATCACTGACCCTATATCATTAGTACAATGTGAAGGCACTAACTAGGAGATGGGTCTCCAAAAAACAAGCTTATTCAAGGATATTTGATTGAAGATGGCCAGGAACTTTAAGTTCTAAAATGGGGTAAATTTTTATGACATTCATTTAATATCTGATTGTGTCAACATAATGTGTTTATTATAAAATTTTGGTTTTACTTCTTAATAGTTTGCATATTTTTTGTTTGTTAAACTCTATTTTGTAATGAAAGATTTTTATAAAATTTAGTTTTTAAATTTTGATGTATTTGCTTATAAAGGTTTCCATTAATTTTAATTTTTCTTTCTTTTCCAGATTGGTTCTTTTTTTATGATCAATTTATGTTTAGTTGTTATAGCTACACAATTTTCTGAGACCAAAAAACGAGAGACTGAAAGAATGCTCCAAGAACGAAAGCGCTTTCAGTCCTCAAGTACTTTAGCAAGCAATTCGGAACCAGGAAGTTGCTATGCAGAAATTCTTAAGTACATTGCTCATATATGGAGGAGGGCTAAAAGGAAGATTATGAAAAAATATTTTGATTCTCGAGGAAAACGCCAAAGAAAAATAAATCCAGAAAAGGCAATATCATTGCAACGAAAGAAAAATAAAAAGAAAGGAATACAACAAACACTTTATCTACATCATCCACACTACCACCATCACATTCACTCCTGCCTTATGGCAAATCTGGACAACCAAATGTTACATTCTGACAATAATAGTGCCCAGGCTCCCAGAGCCAGTCCAGAAGTGTCTGATGTTGATCCCATTTCTTCACCACGCAGACCTAATTTTTTAACATTACCTAGCAACAACAATAGCCTGAATCCTTCATCAGAGTCACTGGTGCCAAATCCAAGTGGAATTATTAGTGGTTTTTCCACTTCTGGACCAACCATGGCCCGACAAAGTGAGTTTGCACCTAGCCAGATATACAAACCAGCATTATCATCCAACCATCTACACATGGTCCCATCATCTGGTTCACATGTCTCAGTGAGTCGAGCATCATCATTCAACAGTGGAATAGTTGGAGGAAGAGGAGGAAGCAGTCGTAACATTCCTTGGTTGCCTGATGTCCTAGCAGCACACAGTGGCAAGAATTTGGCCTTGTCAACATCAAATGCATTAAACACTGATCATGATGTTAATAAATTGCAACCAACAACTGATCGGGGTGAGTTTCTCTACATTTCTTATCAGTTTTATATAGAAGAAAAAATGTCTTGAACTGAAATATTCTTGATATATAAAGTAAATGATGGCATATTTTCATGGTAATTGTGCTGATCGTGCCTCAACCTTAAAATTTAAATACTGTACTAGATTGGCAGATAGGTCTCATCTAAATGAAATTGCTACATGTAACCATAAGTTCTATCTTAACAGTTTCTTTTTTTACACTATTCACTTGTGGAACTCTCTTCCAGCCTCTTACTTTCCAGTCAACATCGATCCTCAAAAATATAAATGGGATGTCAGTCATTATCATGTGTCTCCTTAATTTCTGTTTTGTCTTTTTTATTGGCCTCACTTCTTAATGTTTTTTTTTTCTCAGGTTCTTTCACAATCAGTAATCCCTTGTGTCTTAATGGCTTTATCCTCACTTGGGGTGAAATCGTTTTAAAAAAATCCATCTATATTTTCATTGAAATACATTCTCATAAGATATATGGTGTTCTTACTTGCAGAAGTCATATAGAAATAATAATAATATACTGAAAGAAAGTTCTAAAATTCATATCAACAGTCTAACATATTTTCAGTAATGGCTGGGAATTGCCATTTCAAGATGGTGGTTTAATTTTGAATACAACACTTAGATTCTGGGAAGACATGTACTTCAAAAGTTCTACAGACAGAAGTGGGATGTTGTATCATCATATTCAGAAAGGTTTAGAGATTGTCTGAAAATTTTGGTAATCATTAATACAGAGTTACATTGATGAAAATTAGTTTCATATATAATAAACATCTTTGACAGTCAAATTTATACATTTTTCCCTCCAAAAACACATTTATTTTAAGCATTGCATTAGTTTCACTAAAGAGTGATACTTATGATTTTATACATAATTATTTACCCATAAGATCACAGCAAAGATATAAAAGTGATATTTTAAGTCCTTACTATTCTTAGAAAGTTTTCATATTTAAGTATTTAAATATATTTTTTCATTGATGTATTAATTAGCAAAGGACCCGTTTATTACTTAATAATAAAACTTATCTTTATGCCCAAAGAATCTTACATGAATGACAGTTTCCAGCTACCATAATTCTGGCAAGTGACATTCTTTAGTCCCACCACCTTTGATCTTTACTACTGGGACCCACCATGCTGCGTACGCAATGGGTAATCATCCCCATTCCCTTTATATTCCTATAGTAAGAAATAAGTTCCATTGAGACAACTCCTTCCTAAGCAGGATGTTTTCCTAATCACTACAATCTTGACCTCTACAAGTCTAAAATTAACCATTATCTTTCCTGCATAGCCCTATGAACTTCACTTTTTGCCTTTTCTTGCACTTATACAATACCATATAGTAACCCTCTACTTTGAGTGGCTCTTGAGCCTTGTATAGGGTGAACATTAGTATATATAAAAAAATATTTTTAGTATAGTTGTCGAGCTATTGATGGACTTGTCATTTTTTAATTTTTAATTATTAAGTCAGTAATTGTTATGTATTATGTCAATGTTGTGCCATGCTGGATAACAGTGAATGAAACAAAATGTACTGTGTGCTTATCTGTAGTCACCAATGATATGACTATGAATGCTAGTGGCTGCAGGCACTATGCTTTATTGAAATGTGATTGGCCACTATAAATAATTACAAAGGAATTGACTCTGTATTTATTAATACATTACAATAATTAAATTTCTTTGGACCATTGTTAATTATATGGAAGTGTTGTGTAGTTTCCAAAGAACTATTGTTTTGTGTGTGCACATTTTAAAATTTAGCTACAAAAAAATGTTTGAATGAGATGATAATTTGAGTATTATCTAACTTAATGATATTTTCATAATGTATAAAAATTTCTTAAATGATTGATATGAAATATCTTAACAATATATGTAAGATAAAATTCATAAAAACTAGTTGAATGTTTAATGTTTTGGCAATCATGGATAAACATGCCCACAATAAGATGGAATGTCAAAAGGATGTTTTTTTTCCCATGTCACTTCTTTTATTTTAACTACCTTCACTCTTCAGCAATGTTTATTGTTTTAAAAAGCAATGATTAGAATTGTAATAAAACATAAAGATATGAAAGTGAATTTATACATTTCCTTTGTTCTTGAGAATTGACAACAAAAATAATTATTTATTATTTGGTTGAGCTAACTTGGATATTCATGAGTCTATCACACCAACCATCATGTTTAGAAGGTCATTAGGGTGCCATTCTGTGTCATAATATAGCTGATCAATGTAAGTGGTTGTTGGGTGACCAGCCTGTCTTGCACCATGGCTAGGTGTCCAGAGCAGTAAATCACTCACAAGTTCTTGTTTTGCTTGCCAGCAGTGTCCAGCAAAACACATTTTGCATTCACATAAGATTGTAGAACTATTTGGGATGGGTCCATAGAGTTGTGATTTAGTTGAATGTTGTCTCCAAGAGATGTTAAGTAGAACTCCCAGCATCTGAGTGTAGGTTCTATCAAGCTTAGACTCTAGGGTTTTAGTTAATATTCATGCAGTGACACTATACATAACACCACCTCTACAGTGGCTTGAAAGAATCTACATTTGCAATTGTCTGTTAGACCAGATTTCCAGATTACATCCATTTTATTCAAGGCAGCCCAGGCTTTAGCTATGTGAATTTTCACATCATTTTCACTAGAATTTATCTTGCTTCATTGAAATGTAAAAGATTCAACAGATTTTATTGATTCACCTGAGACAGTTTGTATTTAGCCCTTGCTGGTTGAAGCCTATGAATTCAGTTTTAGAGGTATATAGGTATCATTGGCAGCATTTTTCTAGGTATTGTGGGAAAAATATGGAATTGGTAATGGTGTCTGCAGTAATAGCTGGATCATCAGCACAAAAATAATAAATACTATATTGTTTATTTACACTATTTATTATAATATCTATTGGAATGGTTGGTTAAACATCAACTAATTGCCAGTTGATTCAAACATTATAAAATGGTAAAAAATAAGAATTTTGTTATAATTGGTTCACATATTTTAATAATTTAGTAAATAATTTGGTACAATTTTCAAAGCAAAGTTCAGGTAACAGTGAAGAATAGATCCAGTACATCAGCCAAAGATTTTACCTTGATGTGGAAACAACTTTAATGTTACTTTCAATTCTAATCTGGTGATTTTCAAATTTTTTCTGCATTGTTTTTCTTTTTGGATGGAGACAATCTGGTTTCCTGCAGCAGCTGTTTGCCAACTCTGAAAATCAAATCCAAGTCCACCATCCTTAAATAATCTACATGTTGGCTCCAAATACGCTTCTCTGAATTTGGAGGGAAACCCTTTATTGGTTTGGGATGCAAAACAAATGCAACTGTTTTACTACAAGTCAAAATGTATCAAAAGTATTTTCAAAATTCAAAAATTAAGCAAGAACCCAATGCAGCATCTGCTTTCTCACTGAAAACCAAATGATTCATGCTCAAGCAGCTTAAATTTCTTATACCATGATTAGTTAAAAATTTTGTGGTTAATTTGAACAGTTAATAAAATTTAAAAATAGATATTCATGTAGAAATCTGTGAGATTTGTTACTGGGAAATCTGTTAAAATATAAATATGGTGATTTGATATAGGGAAAATAAAATGAAAGAATGTTATCATGGGAAAATAAAATGAAAAAATGTTATCGTGGGAAAAATAAAAGTATGTATATTCTAAAAATAATGAACATTTATAATTCAAAATATAATTTATAATAATATTGTTTAGACATTAAGAAAAATATAGAATTTAATTAAGATTTACAATTATATTTTTTATTATCTTAGCCAAAAATAGTTATAAAAACTTACTTTTTGATTAATCAAATTGAATTGTGAGATCATAACTGATTAAATTCAAACAATATTTTGTTTGTCTAATTTTTAATAATGAAAAATTCTCCTTTTTTTTTCTCCAAACCTGTGATAAAATATAATAAAAGTTGTGTGTTATTTTTGATTCTTTGAAATAAATAAGGAACATGTTTGTTTTGAAATTTTGATTTACTTTAATATTTGGAAATTTTTAAACCTAATCTCAAGTCTCTGAAGTAGCTAATTTGGACAAATTAAATTCATTTTTGATTTTCAAAAAATTTAAATAAAATTGTTTAAAAAAGTTCTTTATTTGTATGCATGTATACACACACACACATCTTGTTATTGTTTATTTCAGTTCTTTTTATAATCCAATTTAATTTTTTCTTTCAGGTTTACTTGCAGAAAGTCTCCTTGTTGATATCCTTGGAGAAAAGCGTCTATCTGCCCCTCAATTGACATGCACGCTAAGCGAATGTGACCTGCATCCTAGTCATTTTTCTCATTCAGAACAGGATATGTCAGAGAGTGGTGACAGTGATATTGAAGGTGAATGGCGAGATGATATTACAGAACATGGTAAATGGAGGAAAATCATGGAACATCGTTAGTAAAAACAATTTCTTCATTATACCTACTCAGTTTAGTAATATGAAGATTTTATTTTATGAAGTAAACTACACAAATAAATCCATTTATTTTTTTTATTGTCAGTTTCTTTTTGAACCAAGGCAAATAATGTAAGTAATTATAGTTAAAATTAACACTTAGATAAACCAAATAGCAGACATTGCAAAATATTTTCAATCCAATGTTGTTTCTTTGTATTTTAATAAGTTCCTTAGAAATGCTTCAATCAAAAGACCTTTATATTTAACTTTTCACTTTTTTTATTCAGTGTAAACCTTACTTCTAACCAAAAACAAAAATGGTTAACAAACTACTTTACATTATTTAAAATTGAGTGCATATGGAGACCGGAAAGTGTGGTTAGTGTAAAGAAAGAGAAATTGGCAAGCCAAGTTCAAAATCTACCCAAGTTCATTACATTCATTTTCACACAAATAGTTTTGGGAAAAGTATGAACTCATCTCTCTCTTGCCTTGAGGTAATAACCAGTCTGGAAGGAAAACTCTTAATTAGTAATTAGACTGAAGAGAGATGAATTTCATCAAGCTATCTTGACCTAAACATACCTTGCTCTGCTATAGCTGCAGTGCATGTGGTGCTCCAAGTAACCCATTTTTTTTTGTAAACAATTTATTTAAGGCTAAGTTTTAAAAAATAAGTTTAAAAGTTTAATTCTTTGTGGTTATACAATATGCTGTCTTTTATTTTTCAGAATTTGTGAATAAAACCCAAGAGCACATTAAAAAGATGGTAGAGAATAAATATTTCCAAAGAGGAATTTTATTTGCTATCTTAATCAACACACTTAGTATGGGGATTGAATATCATAATCAGGTAAGAAATGGAAGTTTAATTAACTTTCATTCATTTCTCTCAATGGTGAATGCTTTCAATACAACAAAAAAAAAAAACAATTTAAATTGAATCTATGAAAGAAGAATAAAATATGCTGAAAAGATTTATATTTGAGCTGTTCTGGATACTAACTTGGTAATGTTCATTATCACATATTCATGTAGAAAATAGATTTTTATTAAAAGCCCTTCTTATCAAGCAGTAAGTTTCATATTTACAAAACTCAAATGATATAAATAGCAAAGGAATACTTTTGGAAATTTTTATTTGTGATGTGAAAGAAAATAAATGATGTCTGTATTTTTGAAATTGTAATTATTTACACAATTTACATTTTACACAAAAATATTGGTTGAAGTGACTTAACCCAAATAGTTGTGAGTTCAATATCTGGCTACAGAAGTGAACAAAAGTTTGGAGAGTTGAGTCAGAGAAATAACTGATATCAGCATAAGTAAATTATTTTAAGATTATTGATAAAGATTTCTAATAATTTCTTTAAAACTTATACATTGATATGACCACATTCTAAATAGAAAAGGAAAATAATTATGAAAGTAATTTGTATTGTAATGTCAAGTTGACAATTTTTACTATAGGTTTTATTTTTTGCTAGTAACATTGTCATTTTTTCATATGTGTCAGTGCTTATAATTACTATGCCTCCATCTTGTTATAAGGTAAGGTGATGATTTTAATATTGTTTGCTAATTTATCTTTTTGGTAGAATGGTTTCATTGTTTTTTCATTAAATGTACTAGAGATTATCACTAAAGGATTAATACAAGGCATAATTTCTGCTACATTCAACCAAAAAAAGCAATGAAATCACTCTACTAAAAAGATATATAAATACTTTAAATAAATCAGCACACAATAAAAAAAAATCATCTCATTGTCTGACAAAGATGGAGGTAGATACTGACATATACCATGGAAAAATGAGAGTTTAATGTGTAATATCAAATCAATCAAAGGTTTTGAGCTAAATAAATCATTTTCAATTCTTAAAGAATAAAAGAAATTCATATTTTATTTAAATTTTAAGAAAAGAAATTCATATTTTATTTAAATTTTATATAACAATGGATCAATAAGCCTAACACAATTATCACCTGAATATCAATCAAAAATTTAACTGTATAATATTTAATCTATGTAATTAATAGAGAAGCATTGTTTTAAGTGTATTGACAAGAATAGTGATTGTGTTGAAAAAAAATTGTAAAATAAATGTTTTTTGTCATTTACAAACTTAGTAATTTATCTGCATATGTACATTAACAGGATAATGTCTAACTAATTTAGATTTAAATATAGTTAATTATATATATTTTAAAGGTACATTTTTGTAATTTCCAAAAGTTTTTAGCCAATTTAACAATCCTCTTTACTAGAGTCAAACATTTTTGTTTTTGAACATGTGTTCATAACAGGGCAAGTAATTCTTATTGTTATGCCAGTGATAACCGTTTATTTACTGATACATATTAAAATAAGAAATTGAAATTCTTTACTTAAAAGGTCATCTCTTTAAAGATCATAGGTAAAATATTACAAGTTGCTTTCTAAACTTTCTTCATTTCAAGTCCTCATTTCAAAAACTGCATTGAGTTTTCAAAATTTCTCAAAATTTAAGAATGTAGTTATTTTGAATTTATATTTTAAAAACATAAAAGATAATAATTTCTTGCTTAACAACTTTCACATTTTTCTTTTAGCCTGAAGAATTGACACAAGCACTGGAATATAGCAACATTGTGTTTAGTACTCTTTTTGCAATTGAAATGCTGCTCAAGGTAGTGGCATATGGCCCATTTGGATACATCAGTGACGGTTTCAATCTCTTTGATGGTTTTATTGTAGTGCTCAGGTTAGCATCATCTATTATACTTTTCCTTTTATGCATGCAATTTCATCATTCAAGCAGGAAGCATTTTATTCCATTATTTCTGTTTAGTGAGATCATGTGCTTGTTTTTGCTTTTCAGTGATAAAATGTTATAATAACCAACTTTTTTTTTTATTTTTAATGAAGTAAATAAGGACCGTACTTCAAAAATTCAGGCTTTATCAAACTAAAGGTTTATGAATTCAGTCAGCAACACTTGCAGCCAGATATCCTGCAAGTCATTAAAATAAAATATAATAATTTATGTCAATTTTTATTATGCAATACAGTTATCTACCATTAAACCTGATTTCAAAGTAATTTGTAAAAAAACAAAAATGTATTTTTCACCTCCAAATTCAGTAATCAAGAAACTTCATAAAGCTTTTGATAAACATCTGTCCTTTACTTCTATTTATTCATTCTAAAAAAAAACCCTTAGCTTTAATTTTTTTACTTTCATTCTCAAAACTTCAATCTTAATATAATTGTCATTAATTGCCATATAAAGTCTCTCAATATTCTGAAAGATTATTTTTTAAAGAATTTAATTTCTTTTTCTTAGCAGTTGTTTACATTTGTCAGATTACATTCAAAATGGTTCCAAGTAAGTTGCTTTGCAAAATGTCAAAATATTGGAAAATTTTACATTTCTAGAATGTATTAAAATCCAGATAAATCACAAATACTGATTTACATTAAGCTATTCATTTTATTTTTCTCTTTTAAAGGGACTTAGCAGATTAATCTTTAATGACAAGTCTTATGAAAATATTTTTAATCCTTTTTCTAATAATTACTTTTAATTATGAAATGATTCTATTAATATAACAATTGTATAATAAAACAGAATTGCAATTTTTTATATATTTATGGGAATCATGTTAAAGAACAAATTTGTTTTTCCATTTTTATACTATTATTTGTCTGTAAATCATTTTAGCAAGTCCATATTTTTATTTCATTTCAGTATAATTGAACTGGCGCAGGATGGTGCAAGTGGGTTGTCTGTTTTGCGTACCTTCCGTTTATTACGAATATTAAAGCTAGTTCGATTTCTGCCTGCACTACGAAGACAGCTGGTTGTGATGCTAAAAACTATGGACAACGTTGCAACTTTTTTTGCACTTCTTATTTTATTTATGTTCATATTCAGGTAAGTTACAGAGAGAAAAACCTTTTCTATTTACAAATCAGAAAATGATGTGACATTTTAAAGCAAACATTGGATATTAAGTCTAGTTTAATTCCAAAACCTTATTTTATTTTATATGGAGTTGTTACTTAAAATGCTTTCTGACCTTTAACAAAACCTACATGTAGGGGAATCAATAAGTTCATAGCCATTTGATGAAAAAAAATACATTTATTTTACACAACAAACATTTATTTTTCAACATAATCTCCTCCTTTATTGCACTTAATTCCATGTTCATTATTAATCACATCAATCTAGTATTATACAGTGAACATTTCAGATCAAAATTCAGCTTATGGTTATGAGTCAGGCTATGGACTTATTGATCCAACCTACCTTGTTTATCATAAGACAATTTTAAAAAACAATTCTTTTTAACATTTTTTTTTCCTTTTTTTCATCTTGTTTTTTTTAAACAAAAATTTCTAAATTTTTCTAAATAATTTTCATTTCATCTTAGAAAAATAAGAAGAAAGAATTACTGTTACAAATTTTTTAAATATTGATAAAAATATAATTGTTATTTTTCAAGTTGATTTTTCATCTTCTTCAAGTAGCCACTGGTTTTATGGGTTTGATTTACTTTTGGTAATTTGTTCATTGAATTAACTGTTACTTTTAGTATTATAAGTCTTTTATGATAATTCATATACATTGCAAATAAGTATTGCAAAATTACAAACACTGCATATTTATAAACAATTACAGTAGACTTGTTAATTGCTATGATTAGTCAACTGTAGTAATATTGCATTTTATTTGAGTAGAAAACAACTTAAACATGAATAAGTCTGTAGTCTAATGGTGAATAAAGCATTTATTTTCTATAACAAATAATTGTTTAAATATAATCTTCCCTATTCATGTATTTAACTCAGTTGTGAATATTAATCACATTGATGCAGTAAAAACTTCAAATTAAAAATTCAGTGAACTACATTTCAAGTTACATATTTATTGACCTACCTTTGTAATATGAAAGGGTGTTGTTAGCCTGACAACTTTCATTTAATTAGATTAGGGCTCAGACCAAGAACTTTTCAGTACCCCTGGATAATCAAAATATACATGCTGTATTTATAAATATGTAAATTAAATAGTAATATTAATCTTCTTTTTGATTGGTTGTCATAAAACTCAAGGTTAAATCTCCATCTAACCATTTATGGTCATGTTTTCATTGTTTGTTTTAGAGAAGCAAATTTAGAATTTTAATTTTGATCAATTACTGTTGCTTCCTAACATTTGCTATTTTCATTCGTTTCATTAAAAACTTCATTTTGTTTGAAGAAAACAAATAAAAACTTATTCGGCATGAAAATAATCGCTGCCTTTAACAATTTTTATGGCTGGGACAAGCAAATAAAAATGAACTGAAGACAATTTCTCCCTGTTTACTTTCCCAGTGCATATGTGTTCATGCTTGTCTTGATAGGTGCATTGAAAGATAGATATACATGTAAGTGTTGATTAAATGTGGAACTCGGCTAAAGCAATCAACAAAGAATAGTACAAGTATAAACAAGATGTTTATTTAAGAGAGAGTCTGTGAAAAGTTATGTGTTTCTATCTGACAAAAGGTTTCTGTAGTTCTATGGAAAAACTGTGTAAGTCTGTTTCTTTCCTATAAACAACTTTATATTTGCATACACACAGGCAATACCATACTTGTTAGTAATATATGTATACTTTGTAAAAAAAAAAAAAAATTCAGATTCTTGAAGCCCTCAGCATAAAATTAAAAGAAAAATTATCAAAATAAGATTTTCTTCAATTTGGACAATAGGATTTTGAATCTAATTAAAAACACACTGATAGATTCTGTTCTGTTAAGAATTTTGCTGGTACATCAATTTGTACATGTAATTTTAATACAAAAAAAACTAGAATGACAAATTTTTTAAAAATTAAAAACTAAGTAAAATCCAGTTTTTGCCCCTAACCTTTAATATTTGATATATGGACTAGGGATAAAGACAAAAGTTGATTATCTAAAACAGTTTATTACAAATTGAACACATGATTGGTTGTACTAGGAGTACTTTTGTTCAACACTGTAAGATGATATAAAACCAAAATATTAACCTGAAAACTAGTCATGTTCTTAGTCTCATCAGATTTAAACTTTTATATGGATCTCATGCATGAAGTCCATCTCATTTAGAAATGAATAAACTATTATACATGTACAACCATTTTCTCAGATCAATAATTAAAAATGGCTTCAAGTAAATGAACCTTCTAGGGCTTAGACAATCCTTTATCATAGTCTCATGCTGCAAACACATTATTTCCAACAACAACAATCAGCAAAAATGAATAACTCCTGTAATTAGAAGGGAAAATAATGATGTGATCAACTTTTCAACTACCTTAAACAAAAGGTTAGGAAGAAAACTCCCATCAGTAGTAGAAAGAGCTATAAAAGTCAATGGATTTGAAAAGTTTAATTTTCTCAAAAAATGTTTTAAGATTTTATAAATTTCAACTGAAAGTGGTTCTAAATGCTTGGTCATTCAAATCTAAATGTTTCCTGTATGAAAACAGCTAATTTCATCATAACCATTACCATACAAACAAGAAAGATTATGTAACAAATTTATTTTTAAAAAAACTAGTATATAATTGTGTATGAATGAGCCAGTTTAGTTTTGGTTCAGTCAAATGTATATAAAACTATACTTCTAGAAAACCACAAGAAGCAAATATTATAACATAAAAAACACACATTATTTAATATGAATGACTTCCAAATAGTAATGATCTGGCTTAGAAATCTAATAATCTGCAATAATATTCAAAATTTAATAATTAAAATAGCTGGTATGTAAAGATTTCATAACTATGTCCAAAATCCACACAAAAAAATAACATCCACTTAAGTTTATTAAAACAGCAGATTTCAAGAATAATCCACCAAAAACAAAATCTAATATGTGATTAGAAATTTGTAGATTTCATACAAAATAGATTGAGTTATAGGAAGAATTTTCAACCAGTCATTGGTCTTTTTAAATTAAAAATCCTTTGTGTTTGTATATCCTGAAAACAGATAAATATGTAACTTTGCAACAGGTTATTGTCAGTCTGCTCAATAATGTCATTTTGTTTGTGCAAATCAATGCAAAATGACTTATTTTTTTAGAGAGAAACAAGTATAAGAGATCAAAATCCTCATTGATAACTGAAACTAGAGATGATAAACTGATCCAATAATGGATAATTCAAAAGAACAATTGGAAAATTATCTCCTGTATTCAATACAAAAGTAGTAGAATTTTGGCATAATTGAAGATAAGTTTGCAATAAAACCCATCATACCCAAAAGTCTTCTGTACTCAAATTATAGCCAAAACATTAGAAGCATTTTAGGCAAAGATATTTTCAAATTATTTTAACCTAAAATTTATATGCTCTAAATCCTTTCATATGTACTTTTTTTTTATCTAAATGCACAAATATACACTCCTTATTAATAAGTAATTTTTGTCCCTAAAATGTTAAAATCTTATCGCCACATTTTTTTTTAATCTGAAAGGTTTCAGTTTGAAATATATATTTACAATACACTTAGGCACTTCATCAGGATGTACTTTTATTTGGTAATAAACTGAAGTTATGTTTATTTAAAGAAAGTATTTATTGGCAAGTTTATTTTCTTTTGTTCACAGGTAGCTTCATTTAATAGAATTTTGCTAAGCCAAACAGGTATGTCTGTATTGACACATTTATTGAAGTGAAAAATCAACTGTAATAAATGTAAAAAAAAAAACAACAAAATCTAGAATCTCGTTCCTGAATCAATTCCTTCCTTGCCAAGTTAACAGCCTTTTTCGTTTCCTTCCATTAGGAGAGGAAGATGATTTGTGCCATAAATGTTATCACAAACTGTATTGATACATGTATATGATATCTACCACATTTTGTAAGCATGGGAATCACCAGAGCACAAGCAAAAGAATCAGATTTTGAAATAAAACCAAAGTGATTTGTCTATTCACATTTAAGAGATATTATCCTGGAATTCTAAAGTGTTTTTGTTTTATTTTTTTAATTCTGCTTGTTCTGCTTTAGATTGTTCTCTAAAAATATAGTTTTGGCAAAAATTGGAGCATGAAATCCTGATGAAATCCATAGTATTTCTAGTTATGTTTCCAGGAAATAATCTAACATCCAGAATTGGCAGGTCTGTTGGAGATAATGCATTCTGCCCAACTAATTTTCTGTGTCACTTTAAATAGATGTTGATGACTAGACATTGGTTAAAATTTGGAATTCACTTTGCTTCTTGGGCCATCTGCACCAACATTTGCATGTTCTTGGCATAATGTGAATTCTGCAATATTGGAGAAAAGTTTTGTTGCTGAAGCATAAATATGTCTGAGGTGAGATTGTGTTTCTCATAGGAAAAACCAGTTATTCTGCCTCCATAAATTGTGATGCTTTAATTGTGATATTTTACATAGTAGTATCATCTGATGTACATTCCTCATCCATTTTTAATTAATTATAATAAATTTCATAGAAAATAATCAACAGAAAATTTAAAAGCAGTTGTTATATTAATGCCAAAGAGAGGTATCCAAGTATATGTGACTTACAAAAAGGTTGCATTTAAATTTCTTTTTACAATATTACAACTTTATAGCAACATTGATAATGAGTCGCAGAATAATAAATAAACTTCCAATAAATGTTATAAAATTTAAAACTGCAATTTATTTACATTTTTGCAACAAAAAGATTTTATCTAAATGTGGAAATTGATTTTTATAGATTTATCTTTTAAAAATAAACACTTTCATTATTCAAAATGTTCAAAGAAATGAACATATATCTGATATAAAAGCCATCTGTTTTAATAAATAACATTACTCAGTTTACATGAGAAGAGCAAATATATGAAAATTGACTAACTGGTATTAAGTTGTCAGGGAGTCTGATTTCTAATCACTTAG